TGGCATTCCCCACCGCTCCCTCCCCGGGCCACCCCGGGGGTGACAGCGGGTGTCTCCATGGCACAGGTCCTTGGTGACGCCAGGGCTGTCCCACGCCTGTGTGACCTTCCCACCCGAGCAGGAAGAAGGTGGCAGGCGCCGGCGAGGGCGAGTTGGGGCGCGCTGGCCCCGGGGCCACCCCACAACCGCGGCTGGGAGCACCCCGGGGCCGGCGTGGGCAGTGCAGGGTGCTTTGCCTATCTCGCTTCCGGCACTGCCAGTGCTCCCTGCGCTTGGGAACATCCTTCTCTCCCACCTTGGGGGGTGTGGGGACGAGGGCTGGCTCTGGCTGCCTGGCTCTGGGTGTCTCATGTGGGTCTGGGGCTTGAGGACTCTCCCATCCTTTCACTGGGAACGGGAACGGTGGAAAATATTGTTGTGGCCCTGTAATGGCAGTGGCCAGGTGGAACTGTGAGTGTGATGCTCTGGCAAACACCCCTGCTGTGCCTTGGGATCTGTGGGGGCACTGCTTTTCCCTGGGGGGCCACTGCTTGTCCCTGTGTGGGTGGTCATGCACCTTGTTTTGGGTGTCTCTTGTGGCCCAGGTCCTGCTGGCTGGGAAAGGGTGCCCGGGATGACACCCATCACTTTTTTTTGGCCCAAAGGGTCTTTCATGGCCCAAGGTCCCAGTGCTGGGTGTCCATCAGGTCACCGAGGGATGAAAGGTGCTGGGAAAGGACTGGGGACACAACGGGAAAGGAGAGGCTGGAGAAACCGAAACTGGGGTAGGAGAAATGATGGTGAAACCTCCAGCAAGTGCTGCAGGGTGTGCCGGGCACAACCGATACCCCGCTGAGCTCGGGGCCATAAAAACTCAGCCAGTCCCAGCTGCTGGGCACAGGCACCCAGGGGTGAACTCTGCTCCGTGCTGGGCTGAGCTGGTTTGGGCTGAGCCAGGGCCACGGCAGCCACGTGTGACCGTGGTGGAGCTGTTTGTGTGTCTGGTGTGCGCCTAAACAGACACCCCTCTGCCAGGGGTGATGTCTGTGGTGACCCTGCAGCCCCTCACCAGGGTTTGCCCCATGGGGACTGCTCCTGGGGGCCAAGAGCTGGTATCACTGAAAGAGCTGCCCTCCACAGCTGGGATTGGAGCAGAGCTGAGCTCTGACCCATTCCCAGCACCTCAGAGAGGAAATCCTGGGTCCAAAGAGCACTGCAGCAACCTGCACTCCATCTGGGAGCAGCCAGTGCTGCAGGGAGGGAGGGCTGCCCTCCCCGCCTGTGCCCCCCAGCGCGATGCTCATGGCCAAGGAGGCTGAAGCACCAGCGGTGGAGCAGGGCATGGGGTGGGCACTGGGGGGTTGCTGCCACAGCAGGATATGAGGTGAGTGTGGGGGGGGGATCTGCACTCTGGAGCATGGCAGGAGGGGCACCGTGAGCCCCCATCCTGCTTCCCAAAAGCTGTCGCCTCCCTGACACTTGCCATGCGCCAAGAAGGGGTGATGGCAGAGGCTGCCCTGTACTGGGGGGACATTGTAGGGGACAGTGTGACACACGAGGGCCCCTGCACATCGGCCTGCTCAGGGCCTGGGTCCTCAGTGCCACCTGTGTGCCCCCATGCTGTCCCACAGCAATGCCACATGTCACTTATGTCCCCATGTTGTGCTGCAGTAGTGCCCCATGTCACTCTTGTCTCCATGTCACCCGTGTCCCCATGCTGTCCTGCAGCAATGTCCCGTGCCACACATGTCCCCATGTCACTTGTGTCCCTGTGTTGATCTTCAGCCCTGCCCAATGTCACTCATGTCCCCATATCCCCTGAGTGCCCACGCTGTCCTGTAGCCGTTCCCACCCCGATGGGGAGCAGGACACAGCAGACAAAGCCTGTTCTCTCCAGCAACCCCCTGGCTTGGGGCCATGTCCATGACAGCTGTGCCCTGTCCCTGCAGGTACTGACCATGGAAATGACGTCGATGCAGACGAGTGGGCTGGTGACAGCCATCGTGGGCTGGGTGGCCACTGTCCTCATCTGTGCCCTGCCCATGTGGAGGGTGACAAACTGCCTCGGCTCCAGCGGCGTAGGGGCCCAGTCGTACTCGGACGGGCTGTGGGTGACCTGTGCCAACGATGGCACGGGGCAGTCGCAGTGCAGGTATTACAGCTCCCAGCTGGAGATCAGCCCCGACTTGCTAATTTCCCGTCCCCTGGTGGTCACCGCCCTCATCGCGACCTTCATCGCCATCATCATCTTCGTCATGCGTGGACCCTTCTCCAGCTGCATGGGCGGCAACCAGGGCAACAGGGGCGCGGTCATCGCTGTGGCAGGCTCCCTGTTCTTCATGTCCGCCATCCTGATCCTCATCGCCGTCTCCTTTACTACCAGCAACATCATCAACAACTCCTACACCCCCACGGGGCCCGAGGCCGTCAGTAGAGAGCTGGGGGCTGCCATCTACATCGGCTTCATCGCCTTTACCCTCTTGCTCGCCAGTGGGATTGTCCTGAGCCACTTGGGAACCCTATACCCGCAGGATTCCTACGCCAAGAATTACAAAGGGGTGAAGACCTGCGATTCAACAGGCTACCCCATGAAGGACTACGTGTGAGCCCTTGTGCCCAGGTGCCAGACCAAAGAGAGCACCACTGTCCCTGCCCTGCCTCCTTGTGCCACCCGATCCCCACCCTCATCCCTGTCCCATCCCCATGCCCATCCCCCTCCCCATGCCCATCCCCATCTCCATCCCTATCCCTATCCCCATCCCCATTCCCATGCTGGCTGCACCCCAGCACGGTCCTCCAGCATGTGCCCTTCCCCAGAGCAGGGACTATAAATAACCTGGTGCCACCAAGGCTGCCTGGGCTCATTCTGAATGGCGCGGTGTGGGGAGGAGGGTGACATATCCTGGGGGTGCTGTGCCCTGCCAGCCTGATGCCAGGTCAGGGCTGCTGCCTCAGTGCCTGGCACGTCCCCATGGGGGAAGCAGCAGTAGCGAGCCAGGGTGCTCCTGGGGTATCCCACAGCAGGGAAACTGAGGCAGGGAGAGGATGCTGAGAGCTAAGAGGGGCACAACGGGGGACACCAGGTCCTCTAAGCCCCCAGAGAAAGGCCCAATCCCCACTCCCAGGCTCCTGGCCACCCACCCCAGAGGGTCCACAGCCCCATTGCTCCAGGAACAACACACAGCAGGCAGACAGCAGGGACGGGGATTTATTGAACAGCCAAGTGCAGGGTTGGGGACAGCCACGACCCCCAACTGCCCAGGGGACAGTGCTGGGGACAAACGGGGCGAGAGGGTGGTAGGGCAGCTACCCATGATGGGCACAGGGACCCCAAGACCTGGGGGGACAATGTGGAAGGATGGCAGGAGCCATGGGGAGGGTGAGTGTTGGAGATCTAGGATACCCTGAGTGGGGGACAGGGACAGACACAGCCACCGCCTCCCACCTGGGAAACGCTCCCAAGGGGAAAGAAGTAACCTGTTCCCAAGGACCATGGGAACAGGATGAGCAGGAACAGGTCTGGGGGAAGGGAAAAGGGAAAAAACCTCAAATATTCCAGCAAGAGATTTGGGTAAAAAACTTCCCAAGGGATCAGTGGAGAAGGAATTGTGTAGGCAGCACAGCAAGGGACTGGGGGAACAGGCTGGGCAGGCAGTGCTGGGTGACTCCTGGGTGGGGAGCAGCCACCAGCTCCCCAGGTTCCTTCCAAACTCATTTCCCATCCAGACCATTAACTACAAAGCTCTGGGAAAATGAGAGATTTGAGCAGCTGTTGTGGGATGAAAGGTGGATGTGGTGCTTGGAAGCCTCTCCATCTGGGTGTCACCTTGGCACTGCTGCTGGATGTGGAGGTCTCCTGCACCTCAGTGTGCACTGGGTTATCCCCTGGGGAGGATGAGGATGGGAGGCTGCAGGACACAGCGATGGGGATCCACCTCCAGCACTCCCCAGGTAAAGCCCAGGGGGGCTGGGAGTGGAAGACAAAGAAGGATCCAGATTTTGACCACGAGTGCCAAGGTGGGCACAGTGAGAAGACATCCTGGACAGGAGATGGCTCTGAACAGCCATGTGGGTCTGCAAAATGTCACGGTGAGGGTTGAGGTGTTGGGGACAATACTTGAATGTCAGAGCTAATGGTGGTGCCCAGGAGACCCTGGTGAGACTAGGAGAGCCTCCCCATGCTGAGGAGCAGACAAGGTCCTTAGGCCCAGACCTCGGGAAGAAGGACACGGGGAAGGGAATGGGGACACTCCCTCAAAATGTTATCCCCCTCCAGCAGCTGCCCTGCTCCAGGAGGGGGTCACTGGGCTGAATTTTATACAGGAGGCCAAGTGTTCACCCCCCCTCCAGAGCCATGCCAGCTCTCAGTCCTCCTCGAGGGGGGGCACAGGGCATTTCTGGTAGAGGTAGACCACTCCAGAGATGTAGCCAGTGCCCCGGGTGCTCTCCTCCTCCGAGGTGGCCCTCTCCCAGTGCTCCACCTCCTGGGCCAGCAGCTTCTGCCAAGCTCCACAGCGCTCCAGCTTCCCCAGCTCTGCCTCCAGCTCCCGCTTGTACCGCAGGTTCGAGAGGTTGCTCCTCGTCGTCAGGCACAGGAAGCCTCCTGTGGGACAGGGCACGGGTGACACTGACACTGGGTGTCCCTCCCTGGGGGTGGCAGCCCCTCGGGAAGGGTGGGGGGCAAGGGGAGGCAGTGAGAGCCT